TGTTTTTTTTTCGCTGTTTTTCCTTTTTTTTCTCGTTCTTTCATCATAATTTTCTTATCTCTTATAATAACTAATCATTCCATACACATTATTCTCATATATATTAATACGTCCGTCGTATTATTTTTGTGTGCACGTGTCGTCTACTTGTTTATATTCAAAAAAGATTGAAGGAAATCAAGTTTAAGTCTGATCTTATTTTCTTGTTTCAAATGAGTACAGAAAACTTTCGTTTTTACATCAAAACCCGTACTGCACTTAATATTCAAGCAAGAATTATTCATGATGAATTGTATTCTGTTTATGGTGATCAAGCTCCTTCTCTTAGAACAGTGGAAAGATGGTCCAAGTTATTTCGTGATGGTCGAGAAGAACTTGAAGATACAGCACGACCTGGTAGACCTATCACTGAAACAACATCTGAAAACATCGAACAGATTCGTCAGCTTATCGATGATGATCCTTATCTTACAATAGAAGAGTTACAAGAGCAAACTGATTTAAGTTACGGTACAATTCATCGAATCATCACCAATCATTTAAACCTTAGGAAAATTACCGCACGTTATATACCGAAAGATCTTACTGATTTTCAACGGGCTGAACGAGTTCGAATATGTAAAGAAAACTTATCAAAATTTCAACAAGGAACATGGCGATTATGTGACATAATTACTGGTGACGAATCGTGGTTTTATCATAAACAGATTGGTCGAAAGTCGTCAAATGCAGCGTGGGTGAGAAGAGGAGATCCTCCACCTACTGTAGTTCGTCAAAGTAAGTATGCTCCAAGGACCTTATTAGCCATCTTTTTCAAGTCGAACGGTCCTCTGCTTATTCATCGTTTGGAACGAGGACAGACTATGGACCATTGTTATTATATTGATAATTGTTTACGTCCTCTTATCGATGAAATTAAACGTCAAAGACCTTCATGTGGAACCCATGACATTAAAATTCATCATGACAATGGAAAACCACATGTTCATAGGGATGTGTGTACTTATCTTGAATCAAAAGGTTTTACAATTATGCCACATCCACCTAATTCTCCGGACCTATCTCCTTGCGTTTTTGGTTATTTGACTTAATCAAAGATAATCTGTCTGATCAAAGTGATTCACAATCATTATATGACGCGGTGGTCAATTTCATGTATTCTTTGAGTAACGAAGAATACAAGAAAACCTTTGAAAAATGGATGGAAAGAATGCAATTATGTATAGATAATCAAGGTGGTTATTTCGAACATTTGATAAAATAAACAATTGATAAACTAGTCCTTGTAGTTTTTTTTTGTTGTATCACTATTACTTCTTGTTCACTATGAAATATATAGATAACTAGTTATTATAAGAGATAAGAAAATCAT